GTTTTTTTCTTGTAAGGAGCAGTTCGAGTTTCTTCTTGTTTTTGTGCAGATATTTTCTTTTTATCTTTTTTCCTTTTGTTTGTGGCTACTATGTATTCTCCTTCAGTGCGATCAAGTTCTTGAAGCTTATGATTATTGTTATCAATAATAATCATAGGTGAGGCTTTATCTTGTTGTAGTTCTTAGTTATTATTTTCTGCAGAAGTTGCCTCTCGAGTTTCTAGAGTTTTTTCTATATTTGTATTCATAGAAGTTGAAGCTATAGGCTCTACTTTCTCTGTTTTAACAGTCACATTATCATTGTTTCTACTAGCTATCGGGGCTTCTTTTTGATCTTCTATAGTTTTATCTTTTGAAGTTTCATCTATACTCATCTTTTGTGAAGAGGAGGAGGCTGATGCTGATGTAGCATTTTCTTCTATAGAGTTTGAGGTGTGTTCTGGAGTTTTTTCTTTATTCTTATTATTCTAATACTCTTTAAATTGGCATTTGAGAATCATTGCTTCTTTATATTGCTCACAGTCTCTTTTAATATGACCTTCTTTATCGCAAAAAAAACAGACTTTAGGAGCTGATTTCCATTCTAAAGTAATTTTGTTTTCAAGCAGAATGTAGAAATGAGAGATTCTCTTTTCCAAATCTGGATCATTGGTGGTATCAAAGATAATAACCCACTGGTTAGTTAGATAAGGGGTGCTTTCAATTAAGAGTGATTTAATAGATGCGATTTTTCCCACGTTCTCAAAGACTTCTTTGATAGCTTCAGAGACTAGCTTCTTATCCAATAAAGGTACATTTCTGATTTTGACTGGAAGAAATGATCTTCTGTTATCTGTAGGAATAGAACTGAGATATGTTTTGTTAAAGATTTCTACTCCTTTAACTGCATAATCTTGTAATTCTTCTTTGTTAGCAAAGATAATTTCTAGATGAGTACGGATTCCTCTATTAATATGAGGCTTAGCTACGACTATATCATCTCCTACATTCTCATAGAGAGAGACTATGATATCATTCAAAGAGCAGTTTAAGCTGCTAATATCTAGAACTAAGGCATTATCATTCTTAGATCTAATGGTACTCCTAGGGGAGTATGAAGTAAAAGTGAATTGACCTCTTTTGACCTTAGCGAATAGACTAGACTAGGATTTCTTTTGGTTCCCTTGAAAACTCAGAGCATTTGTAGGAGTTTCTATATGAGGTTCATTTGTTGACATGACACGTGTATTTGTTGTTTTGGTCATATCTAAATTATTATGCAAAGAATCATGTGTTTTTTCTTCAGTTGTTTTGTTTTTGTTATCTCTGTTTTCTTTCGTTTCTTGAAGTAAGTTTGTTTTTTCTCTTTCAAGATCTTGAGTTACTTTCTCATCCCAAGTAGAAAGGTTTTTTAGAGGTTCTTTTTGCTTCAAGGTATTGTTATTAAGATTTTTTTCAGTTGTATTTACTGTCATATCAGAGTTTTCTTTATTGTTATTCTTTATTTGTAAGCTAGCCAAGAGTATAATTTTTTTGTTTCTTCTATTTTCTAAACACCAAAGTTTACATTTCTTTGGAACTTGGGCTAAAGCTCAAGTTCTGTTGGAAAAATAATATTAGATTCTTTAGTATAGGATATTTTGTAAAAGTTGTATACTCTCGAGCCTAACTTTATATGGTCAGGAGAGAGTGCGTGTAGATCCTTTTTTCCTATTTAAAGTTTCAGTATATACAAATAATATAACAATAGGCATCAGCTCAATCTCAGACTAGAACAAGTTTAAAAATATTTTAGATACTTTGAACAAGCCTCAAACTTCAAAATTAACAAAACAAAATCTATCCTAGCACTAATTACTGAAAATACGCATATTGTAACTCTGCAAAATAGTGAATCTTTTAAAATTTTAAACAAAGATATAGAAAATACTATCATTATTCTAGGCTACAAAGTAGACCTGAAAGGCAATTCAGAAAAAAATCTTTGGCAGGAACTAACTAAAAAAGGAAAAAAGATAAAAAGAAAATATCTGCACAAAAACAAGAAGAAACTCGAACTGCTCCTTACAAGAAAAAAAC